CGGTTTAGCACCCCTACCTGCCACTACCAATACCAACCATTGCGGCCCCAAAATTTAAACCAAACCCCCAAACATTCATAGTATTTGAACATAGCTCTTCTCTCCATTCATGCACCAAACAATTACTTACCAAATCCCCCCTCAATCTCCACCAATTAATAAATAAATCCCCCCCACGATCTCCATACGCCCTCCCCACTCCAAATGAATTCCCTGACAAAATCCCTCCCCCTCTACTTCATCACCCCTCTGCACCGCCGTCGCCTATCTCCTCATCAGCATCCTCTGCCAATTCATCCGCAAACTCCGCCGCCGCCAACTCAACCTCCGTCAACGTCGCACATCAAACACAACAACTGTCTCAACAGCAAACCCATTGCATGGCGACTCCATAACTCGAGCTCAGCTCCAAAGCCACCCGGTACTCACCTGTTCGAACTCTGACGAGGCTGAGGCTTGTTCAGTGTGCTTGGCTGATTATGTTGCGGGAGATGAAATTAGAATGCTGAGGAATTGCGGGCATAAGTTTCATAGGGAGTGTGTTGACAGGTGGCTCGTCATGTGGTCGTCGTTTTGTCCGATTTGTCGAGAGCGGGTGATGGTGAGGGCGGAGGAGCCGGAGGGAGCTGAAGGGAGATGGGTGGAGGAGTGGGAGTATCCAAGGAGGTTGGAGGTGAGGCTGGAAGTGAATGTTGTGCCTCGTATCCTTTTTTGATCAGTGGGAAGGACTTTGGTACTAATAAGTTAAGAGGGGTTTTAATACTATCGCCCAATTACGGATAGATCCTCTTATAGTTTTAATACTATCGCCCAAGAAAAGAAGAGTTTAAAAAAAACTTATAACTTAAGGGTCTATCTGCAACAATAAAAATATAGGAGGTGTATTCACAATCGGGCAATAGTACAGGAGGTCCATTCATAATTAACCCTTAACTTTAATCATAATTATGTCTTTTTTTTTAGTAAAAAATAGATACGAGGATAAATCATTGAAGGGCGCGATAAGTAAGTGTTAAAATTGAAGTTGAATCATAATTGTCCGCCAGATAGATGATTGTGGGAAGCAATTATCGCTTACTTATTCATTTTCAATGAAATGATATAAACAGGTAACCTGATTTGATAGCGTCTTGAGCTGAGAGAGCAGATGAAAAATAAATTGATATTGTTTGCTTGCTTAAAGAGAGGCACGTGAAAAATAAACAAGCAAATGATGTCTCTATTGTATATTATAATATAATACACTAGGCCCGTTCAAAAAATATGATGTACTAGGCAGAGGGAATTTAAGTGAGTCTCATTAGTCATCGTGTATTCTTATAAAGAAAAACTCAAAATGGCGTTTATAGGACAAATTTAAGTGGGTTTTTAATTGCAAAAAACGACCGGTTTTGAAAATATTTACAAAAACCGACCTGTTTTCAGCCAGGGGCTGAAAACAGGTCGGTTTTTTTAAATTTTATTTGGGAAACTTCACAGGAGTTGAACTCCCGTAAAGTTTTTTCTCATAACAAAACTTCACGGGAGTTGAACTCCCGTGAAGTTTGGGAAAAAAAAATTTCAAAAACCGACCCAGTTTCAACCAACTTGGTCGGTTTTTATAATTAAAATTAAAATGGGTCGTTTTTTGCAATTAAAAACCCAAATGGGTCGGTTTTGAAAATTTGTCTGGCGTTTATATTCAACGAATGACCTGGGCCGAATTGTAGGCTAATTTTGTGGGCCTAATACTTGAATAACGAATTTTTTGGTGGGCGTAATAATTATATCTAACAGATACTAGTGATTAAATGACGCTCAACTTTATGATATAGCTGTAGGCTGAAAGCTCTTGAAACCTGACTCGAACTCTTCCATGCGTGAGAATATTTGTTAATCAATCCTACAAACTTTATAACACTGCTAGTTTTGGCAAAGTTAAGATGACAATATATTAGGGATTTTCAAGGGATAAAGAAAGATAAATGTTAATTGCCCACACACTGCTTTCTTGTTTTAAAGGCCTATTTATTAGCCGTGACGGATTAGAATAATTCGTTCAGGTCCGACTGACTTAAATTAGGTCAGACCAAATCACGTCTCGTGTCTTTTTACCAAAGAAACTCACAACTAATTAATTAACCGAATGGAATCTACTCCTCTATATTTAAATAAGAATCCAAAGAGTTACTGTTTATAGTACAGTAATAGTATAGTATGAACAATAAATCAAAGTTGGCCCTTAACGCTCGAAGTACTATTCATGCTACAGTTTTTACTATAGCACAAACAGTAAACCAAATCTGCTCCTCCATACCTGAAGTTACTATTCATGCTAGAATAATTTACTGTATCATAAACAATAAAACAAATCAAATATATAATGGATAATTTTTTAAGTATATAGAAGTATATATGATTTATAAATTAAATGTATTAGAACTTGAATTCTTTTTTAAGTACAAAGGAGCAGATATGATTTCTAATTTTAAGCATATAATAATTAAATTAAATTTATTAAAATTTAGAGGGATGCAAGTTCAAAATACAGTGCTTAAAAATATAGGAGGGCCGTGCTTTGCACGGGGTTCACACTAGTGCACTTCCAAACAAATACCCTCTCCGGTTCGAATCCAGTCGAGTCCAGCTTGAGCTCAAACCAAATGACTCATAACGATGACACCTCAACCACTTCATCACAAATGAATAATGTCATATTAGAGGCAAATGTGATAGTATGGGCTCTCAAAGGGACCTTAATCCAAGCTGGACCAAGTGATCACATGAAGACCAAAGGTCGCGCTCCATCTTTTAGCCCAACCCGTGCAACGGAACCTCCAAGCAAATAGCGCGTCCAACAAATTAAAGGGTAATTCATCTCAATTGTCATATTTGATATTGCAAATTATTTTGCATTATGTACTCCCGTGCAAATTATTTTCCTTTCCTGCAGCACAGTTTATACTTCTGTACTAATTTGAGGCTTGAAAACGTGAGTGCACCTCTACAAATTCTCAAAAAAGCTAGGTTTATATATATTTCAAGACGTGTTGCCCTAATCAACTGACTGATATATTAGCTGGACGTACTTTGATGTTGGCTTCGCCTTGGACGTAGTTCGTAGACGCACGCCTACGGGTGTTCTGCTGCGCAGAGTACGAGCACCTACAGTATCCCCAACGGATTTTCTGTATCCATTTCACGTACGTGTTTTCCATGAGCGCACCCTCAACCTACGGTAGTAATGAACCTTGACGAGCGCAAGACGCTGTCAACGCCTCTAGATTTGTTGAAAGGGACTTAATTTTAGGAGTCTCTCCACCTTTGTCATCTCCATTAGGGTCATTATTTTGCTTTTTGTACACCTGAATAGAATTCAATATTAATATATTGTATTAAATATGTATTTAGGTTGGTTTTAGTTAACATGTATTTAGAGGTGAGCAAACTGAAGCTTTGCTCCGTTCTGACAAATATGGAGCTAAGAGCATCTCCAACCACAAAACCCAAAATAGTATAGTTTTTACACCAAGTTGGTGTAGTTTTTACACCAAATCACTATTCCATCTCCAGCCCATTACACTAAATTTTACACCAAAAAAATTTCCTTTTATCATTCTTATCTTTTAATGGGATATGATTGGACTATTTAATTTGTTATAACAAACTTTAAGGGCAAACTTGGAAAAAAACAAAAACTCTATATCTACAGTGTTACGCCATTCCCGATGCAACACTGTAGCACAACTTTAAAATAGCGCTAAAAATGGCGATCGGGTGAACCCGCTAAGTTATCGTATACAAGTCATTGGGTGATGGGTGCCAATTTTTTAAGGTTATCTCATAAGTCACAAGCTTTCTAAAAGTTCGGGAATTGGGACTCACGGGTCATGATAAAAATGAGCTCACATCTAAAATGCATCACAATTATAATGTTAGTTAGCCGCAGTTTGGATCATAGTCATCTTAAAAATAGTTGGTTCTCTCGAAGGAAGATGAAGGGATCCAAAAAACATTTTTTGGGACTACAATGAGAATCAAGGGAAAGATATGCATAATTATTTATTGTACACAATCTCATGTACGTTCAAGGTACGTATGACCATTATATTTTACCACTTCAGTCAAATTCCAATGAAAGAAATTTTATTTAGATTTTTTTTATTCAAGTGAATTTTCCCCCCGTTTTCCTTTGGTAAATAATGTATGCATAACGTGACAACATTTAAGACTAATTGAATTGCCAATTCAACATTGGCTGGAAAGAAATTAATCCAGTTCAATCTGACACCATTAACTAATTTAACTCTGAAATACTAAATCAAGTAGCCAACAGTAGACTACACTCCATACATTGACTTTAATCCTATGAGAATTGGGATACTGTAAATCTATCAAAAATCCAATAGATCTTGGATTCTCAACATCCAAATTAATTGCATTACAGCAATGAGCTCTAACTCCTATGCTTAACTTTCACAAATTATCGTGATCCAATAAATGGAACATGACTCTGGCCACCCAATTGATTTATTCCACAATTCTATAACTCAGTGCTCTACTACTGTCAAAATTATTTTTATCTTTATATGTAACAAGTCCAACACCAACGTTAGTAACAATTACTCCTAATTACTTCTCATGGCCCTTGAAAACATTATAAACATCAAATATGACAAGTTGCACTGTTACCAATCATATATTTTTGTCTTAATTGATGTATTTATTAAAGGAGAGGAGGGAATCAAGGGCCAATCCACTTACTTACAGTTCAGTCATTCTCACATGCGGCCTAATTTTGATCTCGTTGTTATTGTTAACGTAGCGTAACGGCATGGGGAAAAAAATAAATTATTGTAGATGAGGATCCAGAACAAATTTGTTTAGTGAAATTATTAACTGACATAGAATTCTACCACCGCTGAGTTTTAGTCAGAGATCTGATCTATAACAACTATTATATATGTGTTAAAACTAGCTGGCCACTTTAAAGGTATCCTTAGTTCCCACGCTTCAACATCTATATATGCACATCTTTTGATTTTTAGAGGCTCTCTCCTCTTGTGAAGGGCAAATAGATGACAATGAGGCTCTCTTTGTTAGTCTCATTGGCTTTCTTCGCCCTCTATGGCGTTATTGTTGTGCAGTCAAGCTCGCCCGAAGATTGGTTTGATTGGGTTGTCTCGTATGGAACTATTTCTCCATTTGGAGTACCAAAGAAGGTATTGTGTTTTACTTGCACGAGTTTATTTGTCGCAAACGTTAACAAGTGCTAACGATATATGTACGTATGTATTTGATGAATAGGTGATAATGATCAACAATGAGTTCCCGGGACCTCTTATTAACTCGACAACGAACAATGTTGTTCATGTCAATGTTCATAACAACCTTGACGAGCCTTTCCTCTTTACATGGTAATTTTCGAAAATTGCATCGTTCCTATCGGATGGTAGATTAGAGACCCTCTGCTCTTGTACCAAAGAAAACCTAGATATCTAGGCATTGATCCAAAGATTCTTCTCCTGATGCACCAACTATCCAGTAAAATCAGTAAACACTGAATACGTACGCTCTCTTTTGGCGTCTTAAATTCTTTCTTTCTTTCTTTCTTTTTGTTATAGGAACGGAGTGCAGATGAGGAGGAACTCGTGGAACGATGGAGTGCAAGGAACAAACTGTCCAATAATGCCCGGCAAAAATTGGACGTACTATTTTCAGATGAAGGATCAGATCGGCAGCTTCTTCTACTACCCAAGCGTCAACTTTCAGAGGGCAGCCGGAGGATATGGCCCGATACGCATCAATAACCGTGATGTTATACCGATACCTTTTCCTTTTCCTCGGGACGACTTTGACATCTTGATATCAGATTGGTTCGATAAAGACTATCAGGTTATTTTCTTAATAATATTCAACTTCATATTTCCTTTAGAACTGTATGCTTGGTTCAGTACCTAAATGTTAGTTAACACTGTTTCTTCTGCAGGAGATGAGGAATGATCTCGATGCAGGGAATACAGTGCTTCCATCCCCGGATGGAGTTCTTATAAACGGCAAGCCGTCCAAGAGCCTGCATTTTAATTTTGAACCAGGTGATTGATTCATTCATTTCTAATATTATTCATAATGCATAAGGTTTCTTAGCATGTATATGGACATGTGACACATGGATGGACGAATGTAGGAAATATATGCATATCAACTATCAAGCATACTGACTATTGGGTTCACATCTACGTATGAGTTTCCTGCTCATGGCAATAGAAGATCACATGCCACATGAGCCCATGGGCCAATGATCAAAATATCCCCACAAGGGGCTATAAATGGAGAAACAAGCAACGACGGCCTAGATGTGTAATTGTAACCTAGAGTGTCTCCACCAGATCTAAAGAGGCACAATATTGTGTTATTTATGCACGTAAAATCTAAATGGTACACGACGTTTCTCATGTACATGTTTTCAAAATTACTTGCATCAAATGAGCATTAGGATAGCCTATTTTCACTTGTATTTACTACTTACAAGTTATTGCAATAACACTAAGATTAGGGAGGATACCACTAGTTTATACATAGACACAATGTGACAAAATCCTAGATCTGCCATTGAATCAGTATGACAATGTCGTGTTGAGCATCTCTAGATCTAATTGTGATAATATGTGCATATTGAACTTTATTTTAATAATATGGTAGTTTTTTTTAATTTAATAGAGTTTAATATTTTGGCTATATTTTATAATTCCTTAAATCTAGGAAAAGATCATGGGGATCTATGTCTCCTAGATTCCGAGATTAATTCACAAGTGAAATCTCTTCCACCAAACCCTAGGTTGATTAATTAATGCTCACCATAGCCTCTGACTAAAGAAAGGAATTTGCCTATCCTGGAAATGAACTTAGAAGGTTCTGATGATTCATGAATCTCATCTTACGCTATCCTATTATAGTAATGATCTTTGGATCTTGCATAATCTTTTCTTTAATAGCAAAAGAATACTCCTCCATGAATAATTTAGTAACACATGGTCAAACCTTGATTCAAGGGTCACCTTTTTTGGTACTTTAGCATGATTATGCTATTTCCCCCCATATAATCTATAGTTGTTTTAGTTTAAACAAAAAAGATATTGATCACTGAATGAATCTTAACCAATAATTAAATGATAAGATAGTTAAACAATCTCTTTAATAACTAAACACTCTGTAGAGGATTCAGAACTCTATACACGTTTAAGTAAATCAAGATTTTCAGTGTTCGCATATATTTTTCATGATATGGGTTCTCTTTGGCATAAAATAAAATAAAATAAAAGAAGAGACTATTATTTTTAATCACATTATAGACAGTTGTGATTCACAGCCATTCATAAAAATACGAGATTATTATAATTTAGAAAGTTATCTTTTATTGCTTTTGGACTGTAAGAGCATCTAAATCTTAAATATATTCTTTTCATCACAGACCATAAACTAAATAATCAATGATTGTGATTAAAAGCATTGGTTCAAATCTGTCCAGATATTGACGAACAAAATTACTCTAATGTGCAGGAAAAACCTACAGGCTAAGGATCAGCAACGTAGGAGTGAAAACGACACTCAGCTTCAGAATCCAAGGTCATGATCTCATCCTAATAGAAACAGAAGGCTCCTACACCCTGAAGAAGAACTACACGTCCCTCGACATCCACCCCGGCCAGAGCTACTCTGTTCTGGTCACCGCGGACGTCCCAGGGACTTTCTCCTACAACATGATCGCCTGCACTCGCTTCGTCTCGCCCGTGCTCTGCACACTCGCCACTGTCGACTACACTGGCTCGACGCCTGCACTCGCTTCGTCTCGCCCGTGCTCTGCACACTCGCCACTGTCGACTACACTGGCTCGAATGGGTTGTCTCCTTATACGTTCAAGCTCCCTCATGGCCCTCGGTCCAGGGATTTTAATGTATCCATGCAACAAGCTCAGTCAATAAGGTAAACGTTTTGTTAATTTCTTTTTAATGAAGCACTGGGGAGCTATACTTCACAGTTAATCTCAAAGAAATGAAATAAACTCATATAAAAGCAACTCCATACATGTGAGTGATTTGATCTAATCCACAGAGGTATCCCCCAATTTGCTTCTAAATTTTGCTTTGTATGGATAACTCTCTCACACAATGATGTTCTGATAAAATTTGTACTCTCATACTTTATTTTGATACCATACTGACGGCCTTGGACTTGTGATACAGGTGGGACTTAGATGTGGGAGCAGCGCGTCCAAACCCACAGGGATCCTACCACTACGGCCAGATCAATGTCACACGCACAATCGTCCTCCAGAACGAAATGGCCGTGATCGATAACCACACTCGATACACAGTCAACGGCATCTCATTTGTTTACTCTAACACACCTCTCAAGCTAGCAGATTACTTTAGAGTCCCCAACGTATTCTTCACGAACCTGACGAAGGATAGACCCGATGGGCAAACCCTGATGATTAGTACACCGGTCATTGATGCTCTTTACCGCGATTTCATCCAAATTGTCTTCCAAAACAAGGAAGATACGGTTCAAACTTGGCATGTTGATGGTTATAACTTCTTCGTTGTTGGGTAAGTTTATTTTTCGTAATCGAGCATTTATGATATCATATATGAACATAGCAAGTAAATGTTGTATTTGACAGTATGGGATTTGGTGAATGGGATGAATCTAAGCGTTCCGAGTACAACTTAAAGGATGCAGTCTGGCGAACCAATACTCAGGTATGTAAATATTATGTCACTAACATAAATATCTTGACTCTTGCTCTATTAATTATAATTCTATCATCTCTTCTGATTGGCCTATTTGATTTCGCGGCACATAGGTGTATCCAAATGGATGGACGGCGGTCTGGATATCATTGGACAACATGGGAATGTGGAGTATAAGATCGATGAACGAGGAGAGGAGGTATTTAGGGCAAGAAGTGTACATTAGAGTCAGAGGAGAAGATCCCATGAGGCTCCCTGACCCTCGCGATGAAATGCCGATACCTAATGATCTTCCATTATGTGGAAGGGCTCTTCCTCTATGGTATCATGTTTGAGCTCTTCAAAAGCATTACAAATTCCTTTGATTTCTAGATTTCTAGATTCCTCTATGGTATCATGTTTGATCTCATTCTTGTGCTAGTATGTCATTTTAGGTTAGTCTTGTACGAGTATTGTATCAGTTTAAAGCCAAGGGTTCAAAATGTAATCTCTTGCAATAATGTCTTATTCTTGTTTTTCTTGGATTCTGGATAATGTATGATTGTTAGTCAGCATATCACAATTGAACTATCATATTATAATCTTAAAGGTAAAAGTTCTGATGAAAGCAGGGCTATATCTAATTTTTAGTCAGTGTATTGCAAGTGAACTCTATTATATACGAGGGACTCTTGTGATCGTGATACGATTAGAATGAGAATCTTAAAGCATTTCGCAATTCCATTATATGAAAATTCTAAAGTCATGCTGAAAATTATTGATTATAGTTTTATACTCGAGTATGCCTTACACGTCGAGAATCCTTATAGGTGGAAATCCGAGCTATTTTATTCAATGTTGCCTACAAATATGTCTTCGTTGAAATTTGAACATGAGTTTTTGGTATCATCTCAATTGCCTCTTCTAGCATATCGAAACTTCAAAATGGAATTTGAGTTACATGTACACAAAAGATATTAAGTGCTACACTACAACTTACTTTTCTATAAGATCCTCATATGTTGGTTTTAAAAATAACGAAGAAAGCAAGTAATGCAGCGTAGGGCTTATCACTGCATCTGGGTGAAATATGCTTGTGTACTTACAACAGACTTTATTGTTTAAGGTGTTCCATATAAATTTGGTGTTATCATAATTTCATTTAGTATGCTACCCCTCCAAGATATCTCTAGATTGAGAACTGGGTAATTTCAGTCATTTGAAACAAAATATATCTTCGGTTAATTCTTGAAACAAATAGTTCACCTGATTTACATGAGAAGTGTACTTCTCAACCATTCAATCATTTCTCCTTGTACGATGTTAATAAACTCCCAATAAAAGACACAACAATATTTTTGCAAGGTAAGTGTAAAGTTCAACATAGTTACTGAAATAGTTTCCAATTCAATCCTCAGAAAACTTGATCCTAATCAGCAAAGATAAGAAATGCGAGAACACAATTTTACGTACTACACTAATACAACATGATGATAGGAATAGAATACTCAAACTAAACCTATGGATGAAATAAATATTTTATACTAACCGCCCAAAATTTTGGCTCACAACATAAATAGTAGAAAGCAAATGTCAAAAGTAGAACTTATCGCATGTTGCCTTCTCTCAATACATCAATCATGTCGTATATTTTCTTATCAGCCTTGGACTGCACCTACATGAGCACAATAATTTCAAGAATGATCAACTGTCCAAAATGATTGGTTAAATTTCACAAAACACCCTAAAGTTTAAGGGAGTTTGCGAAAAACACCCCTACCCAAACTTTAAATATTAGACTAAACTGCTATGAATTTTCAAAATCATAGAAAATGACAATCTAATGGAAATTGCCATAAATGGTGTTAAAGCTATCGTTTTTACCAGGGGCAACATTGTTCGAAAAAAGGCAATAGCAGATATATTGAGTACATAGGGAAAAAATTGACCAAAAATGTCGGATACAAAGCACATGACAACTTAACCTAGCCTCTGCCTGTCATGGTGTTTTAGTGGGAAAAAAAGCATGGTAGTTTTCTCCTATTTAGAAAGTTTAGGAGCTTTTACACAAAACCCTCAAAAGTAGGGTTTTTTAAAAGATTACAGTTAAATATAAGGAAAATAGAATTGCTATCTATTACCTTTTTCGACAGAAATATGGCAGCATCAATAGTTCCCTCAGCATATATAGAACGGCCGCATACATTGTGCTGGAACTCGAAGGACACTCTGTTGGAAACACATCAAAGTACACAATCCACTTAACTAAATGAACTTAGGATGCCTAGTTTCAGTACAATTCAAATGCATCTCAGATGGTTCCTTACGTTTCATCAGGTGATTCAAGGTGGTACATGTGAAATGCATGGCCAGAGAGGTGCTCTTCAGGAACACCCACCATTTCCAGCTGCTGCTTGGGGTCTCTTATTAGTTTTATCTATCAATAGGGAGTGTGAATTAAAGAGGGATGATAAAAAGATAAACAGAGTTCATTTATTTGGAATACAATCAGCTGTGAATAAATAAAAAGACAAAAATGAACGTCATAAAGAAGTATCTTCTAAGACATGGTTACCTTTAGAAAAGAGTCATTATTTAGTTACGATACTTAGTTAGGACTACATTTTCTTAAATGTAGAGTCTTAATTTGTTTTGATAGCCTAGATTAATTAAGGTTAATAATCCTAGTTGGCATTTTGGGCTATAAATGTACATCAGTCTACAACTTTCATGTTTACTTGATAACTGGACCTGAGTTTTCTATGAAGATGGATTGCACGCAAAAACAACCCAAAATTTTGCTCCCATCTTGTTTCAGCATTTTCTCCTTTTTCAAATCTCAAACAGAACCCAAACCCTAGCAACAATAATCCCAAAAATCTGTTCATTCCCATACTTATACTACTGGTAAGGATATGGTTCATCAGAGCAGCTTAAGGAAGTTAAAAAGCTCTTTTTTAAAAGACACAAAAGCTTCATCATGACTTCGGTCAGCAGCACCTAACTAGAGTTTGTTTAAGCAGAAAAGTAAATATAATCTTGGTCAAAGTGTTGGTTTTCTTCTAAGGAACAGCACAGATAAGCCTATCTGATGGACATAAAACATATATACTAAGTGCAGCAATTAACATAAGAACAATTGTTTCCTGCTCTCTGGCAATCTTTCTCTCATCACATTCCGTCACTTCTTATCAGGAGTAGTGGTTATTAAAGAAAATTCCCAAATTACAGTTCAAAATTTATGTTATCTTACTCCTAGCATATAATGTGTGAGATTTACATTAAGCCACACACTGTACTCTGAAACATTTTCAACTTTGCTGCTCAGGATATTATTATTACTATAAAGAAGTAAATGGAATTGCTGACTATCTATGAAGGAAAGCTGCATCGGAAGATCCTGATGAACAGATATGCAAGAGGATGACAAATATTTTAGATGTGTATGTTCTGAATTAAGAAAATAGCATGAGCATCTTTCTTTGTGCTCTTTGAGCTTGTATATGTTGCTTCAAGGACTTTCCTTTATGATTGAAAAAATAATAATGAAGGGGTGATTTAGCTGCATTCTGTAATAAGAATCAGCACGGATTAACTACTGGTCAAATCAACACAAATCAGGTGACGTGGGTTATTATAAGTAAACACGGATGAATAGCGATGGAACCAGGATTTTTTTACTGTTTTTTACATGCTTCAATTTTCTGAAGTTTCATATCAAAAATATGACAGGAGGAACCCCATTTCAAAATTCCATCACAAACTCTAAAACCACATGAAAATATAAATGCATTTCAAAGTTCTAATATTAAATGGAAAAATACATGGAACTTGAAAAACACTAATTTGAAATTAGTCCCTCTAATTGAAGCTAGTTGAAATTGAGGGCATACTTCGTCATATTCAACATTTTTAGCGTAATAGCAGTTACACCCATACAAATTCCAAAATAAACTTCGCTAGAGCACAAATTAGAGAAGATTATGTTATAACAGACTTAAAACCACTAATTTTGAAACTTGATTTTCGTTGACTTTCATGTTAATTTTGGTTGATTTGGTAATCCAGTAATTACCAGTCCCTCCTTAAGCACCCACATGTTGTTAACAATTTGGGTGTTAAATGTGACAAGGGATTTTAAAACTCTTCAAAGATTTAGGTAGCAAATTTCAAAATATGAAGGGTTGGAGGCCTACATTAAAGATTTGAGGGACTAAATGGAAAAAAAGCCTTATATTGTATATAGGTATGTTTGTAAAAATCCGCCCCTTTACACCCCCCCCCCCCCCGCCCACCCCCCCCCCCCCTCCGCGCGCTCTGCCTCCGTCATTGCGGATGAAGTTAGAACAAAGTCCAGAAGTATACACTTCAGGCTATGCCTAGCTTAAGTTACATCACATTTGTACCATGTCAAGATGTTCACATTGCATCAAAAGTTGTCAGTTCTTGGTGAATTCAAAATCTAGATCTCCCATGTCGAACAAAAAACAGCTAGAAAAGCAAAAGAAACCTGTATTCTTGGCCTAAAACAGGTAAATGGCCACATGAGGACTACCTGGCTCATATCAAAAGAGACTCCCAGCTTCTGAAAGCATGAAATAACAGCCTTAGCAGTACCAGATGTGTCTAATTTGCTTGCTTGATGCGACTCCATCACCTGTTAATATGTGATTCAGAAACAGTGTAACCGTTCTTTGTACCAAGCTACTTCGTTAGCAAGACAATTTACGGTAGAAATATTGACTCATGTAATAAAGGAACACAAAACTCAAGGATGTAGATCATTAATCTCTAAAGGTTTAGAGTATCTAATTAGAAATAGAAATATACAAACAGTTCTCTTTTTGTTATTGACAGTTCAATATTAGTTTCACACTTAAGAGGTAAATGAAATACAAAAGGAAGACCACCTTTCTATTACAAAATTGCAAATGACAAACTTCATAATATTCTTTTTCAAGCTATCCTACACCACTAACAGAAAATCACTAAAAGAAAATTACCTGATGAACTAACTACCTCTGATCATGGGTTTCAGTCATGGATGCAGTTGACAAATCTGCAGTGCCTCTGTCCATGTCTTTGTAGGGGTTGGGCTTTTCTTTTCTTTCTTTCTTTTTTTTGAAGTTCAATGTGTATGTATAAGTAATTATATTCCAGTTGCTCTAATAAAGAAATTTGTCTGGATTCCCTGCCCTTGAGGTTCTATTAAAAATTAAATTATACCGAGCTAAATCTATATTAAATGCACCTACACTTCCCATGTTCTGTCAACCAATTGCTTAAGTAAACGTTAATTCTTCCTATCCTTAATATTTTGTTATTATTTCATACATATGCCTATCCAATTTCCTAGATAGAGAATCCTCATAAGGTAAGTGGAAAATAATCTGAGGCAAAAGTGCAGCAGGAAAACTACATAGAAAAGACTAGGTAACATGGGTCCTCATGTTTCTATGAATCATATAAGCATACTCTTCTGTGTGAGACTGGACCAACTAACCCTCTAAGACTAATCAGGTGACTGCTAAGACAGCTAATTTCTTCTCCTTCCTAGTTATCTTCATTGTTGGTTAATGTACAAAAACAACTAGAATGCAAGTGTGAATATAGCTACTACACACAAACTGTTTTCTCGTTATACTTCAGAATCATATCGAACTTTAAGTCACAAATGCTTCTATTACAAGCCATGTTTACAAGCCATGTTCACATTGTACATGTATCAATACTTTGTGTCATTTGCTGTTCTCTTAGTACTCTGCAGTGTGGCAGTCTGTCATTCACACCGTTATCTGTGTTGAGTTGACATGTTCTTGTTTGTTCTTCTTAGAGTTTCATTACATGTAATAATGAAAACCAAATGACTGAATCAGGAATCATGCGTGTATGTGTTTTACCTCCACATATGACTGTCTACAGGTTCATCTTTTATGTAAATCTAATCTATCTGCTAGTTCGTTATTTAAACTAACTTCCTTCTTTTAATATATAATCCTTGCACTCATACCTCACGAAAAAAATTATTCATGGTTTGGTATCCATTTGTACTTTGTAACATTTGTGGAAAGCTAGGGGATCATGCTAAGTTGAAGACGAGTATCATAACAACTTATATTAAGGATCACAATAAGAGTTTCCCAAGAGGGGTGTCAAGCATTCCAGCCTTAATGTTAGAGGTGTCTATTTACTAAACAGGAATGGCTTTATGTATGGTAACATAGTAGTACCTGCAGTGAATAACCTGAGAAGGCTCCTGGAAATTGTTCGGCCATTATTTCCATGGCTGCAAGAAATGCAACAACCTACTAAACAAGGAAAGAGAAAAAGAAAAAGGAAGGATAAGAGAAAATAAGAGGATAGCTATTAAATATACTTGGAGAACCCAGAAAAAATACAAAATCAAAACATTGCCCATTAATGAGAATTCTAGAGGTACCTGTTTTCCCATCTGTGGAGAGATTACTGCATAAACATTTGCATCTTGAACTGTCTTATACAACATCTGCCTATCCCCACCAGTTGTCCCCATCACGAACGGAACACCAATCTTGCAATAGAGTTCAGCATTGTCTATGAAGAATAATTTATAGCTACAGTCAATCTTTTTGGCCAGACAAAGTTGTGCACCAGGAAACATTTTACAAGAAATTAAGTGCAACTTTCACTTTAAAGATTCAAAGTGGCTATTCTTAGGTTTGAGTCATCAAAACGTTCACTTAAAATAGATCATGTAAGTAATGTGTCCACCCGTCGCATAAGCCTTCTATAACGACTAGGCATATCAAGCAATAGTATTCATAGTCATTGAGTGTTTTCAAGTAAATCAAATTGTAGAAGCATATTAACAACGAGAAATAGCAGTGAGTCATTTGAAAAGTAGCAAAAATATTGTATTTACCGTTCACAGCATCAGGTGCCGTGTAGTCAACCACTACAAGATTTGGATGTTCATCAAAAATGGAAGAAAGGACACCTTCTCTTTCAGAAAGACCATGTATCTGAATTTCTTTACTGCCGACGTGTAAAGGGTTATTAGACTCTAAATTGCTGAATGTTACCGGAATAAGATTCAGGCCAGCAGACACGGCTGCTTCAGCAACTGCTTTCCCCATTTTTCCCGCACACCCATTCACCTACAGAAATCAAAATTATCCAGATAAAAACAGAAATATATATGAAACCAATAATCTTTCGAGAAAAAGAAATCATATGTTTTTATTGACATGTTTATTCATTAGTATCTTATCAAGATTCCTAGCAGTCTGCTTCAAAGGGTTCATGGCAAACTTTCAAGTTTCAATGGGCCTAACTGACTTACTATAGGACATACATATATTGTAGAAAGAGTGATAATGATCAACAAACTCAAAAGATGCCTAAAAAAGTGCACGTACATATTATTCTTTGAACTGTTCAACATTCTATATAATAGTATATCATGCTACACAAATTGGTAAGTAGGACTTGCCTCCTACATTTGTTCCCTGTAAGAAAAACAAAAATTCATCTTAAATACTAAATTACTTTTATTAGGCCGCTACACACATGCAATGTCCAAAAAACGAGTGTGTCAAAAAGGAGAAAGAAGAACGTTGAGACATAGAGCAGCATCCTAATAGTATGCTAAGAGATGGAATAAGAAATGATCATGTATGCAAGAAGGTCAAGCTCACATTGAGAATAAAACACAAAAGGACATACTAAGATGGTTTGGAATTGTGAAATACGTAAGCCACTTTGGATGAGCTGCCGGACCAGTTAATGGAGTGAGGACTATGTGTGGACTTTGATAGGCAAAATAAAGAAAGAAGATGGTTGTTAATTAAACCAAGAAAATGGCTATTAAAGGAGCTTAATGGAAGAAAACAAATCACATATATGACCCCAAAAGTTTGGATAACGGCTTTTGAGTTTTTCTCATCTGCTGTTTGTTATAAAGCAAAAAACATACAAACAAGCATATCTTATTTCCTAAGGTGGACTATCATGCATAATCTACCCTTGGTGCTGCTGTGACTCATCTATTAACAAGATTGTCCTTGTTGTATCTCTACATTCAACAGTCATTTCTCTTGAACTCTCCTTCCCGAATAGTAAACGATGCTTCTAACTTTGTTCTCTTGATGTAAGTATCCAGCCACTACCAGAAATTATGGAACATTTCCACAATATTGGCAGCATATTTGCAGAAAATTATGCTTTCAACATGCAACAATTGAATAAACCAGTAGTTATTTTTTAGAACTCCTATGACAGCCTTCTAGTTCCTCGCTTACAAGCCAAGTCTGTCAGTAAAAATACGTTAAGTTTTGAAATTAGGAATATTAATTAATTCAATTACATTTATAAAAAGATTACATTTACTAGGTGGTTTTACTGCCATATATTAGTCTATTTCCCACAACTTGTAAGAGGTCTATTTCCAACACTTGTAAGAGGCAGCTATAGGCACTAGATAAACAAAAAAAATTTAAGCCTACGGGCACCAGGTAGCATTCCGATCTGAGTCATTTAATTAAAGATGATACAAGTTAATGAACTGAGGCTGAGGATTGACCAATCTAACTACCATAACCAGCATAGGATACAGATGGAATCGCAAAGAACCCAACTTCATCGAATTCAAACAATTTGAGGAAATTCCTCTACCGAAAAATTCTAACTTGCATCGACATAATAGAAAATTGCCAAAAGGGTTATAAAAAAAGGGCATCTGCAGCAATTATAAAACATCAAAATCAAAACTTGATCATCAGATCACATACCATGATAGGAAAAGAGAGGTTGGAGGCAGCTACAGATGAAGATTTAGATCTATCGAGATTCATCGTAGCGCAGATTCTCACGATGGAACGGGGTCTCGAGCGGCTTTTGGTGAAGGACGAGAACGGGGCCGATCTTAGATTCGATTGGGGGATGAAGGTTGTGTGCAAGGATAATGAAGAAGAAGCCATTTTTTCAGAGCGAGAATGAGCTAAGGGTTTAAGAGAGTTTTTTTAGCGAACACAAATGGGGATGAACGTCGAGTTTAAATGAAGTTCCGCCGTCGGGTTTCACATATTTATCAAGGTAGATTAGGGTAAGAGTACGTTTCACAAAACCCTCACGACATTTGGGGTGTTTACTACGAACCCCCCCAATCTTTATTTTCTACACGCCCAAAAGTTTTTCACACAAGACCTCCGAAACTTCAAAAAGTCGCAATTAACCGCGAAAAGCAAGGCATCATAGAGACAAGGGAAAAACAGAGTTAGACAAATATAGCCTACATATTTGGAAAAATCATACCAAGGAATAATATATGTTGGACACTGAAAATGCAAAAAATATAGTTTTGTTACTGATATATAAACGATCATTAACTTTTACATATAATTTGAACGATTTGAACAAACACCAAATAAGTAACACCCTCACAAAAAATAAATTTTCACAAGCTCCTAGCTATTTTTCAAATAGCTGAACAAGCCTAAACCAACAGTGCAAAACCCCAAAGTCCAAAGTGTAAACTCTGGCAAATACAAAAACCACATACCTCAAGAATTTTTAACATCATCACATGCAAAATGTTTATCTTGAGATTAGCCTCAATTAATGAAATTACTATTAGGTGCTCTTAGTTAGCACCAGTTTAAATCGGAGAGAGTTTCTCTTCAACATTAACTTTAGGTGATAGAATGAAGAACGATTTTGGTGTTAATTTTAGAGGAGAGAGTGTAGACCTATGTTTGGAGTGGAGGCGAGAGTCAGTCTAGTGATTATCCTTTCGATGTTTAAGAACTAAACCAAAGATTTGAAAATTTTATGAATGAGAGACTAATTTCAAACATTTTACACTGATGTAGGGACCTAATAGCAAGTTCAATAATTTCAGAGTATAATTTACAATTATGAAAGATTTGATGGACTAAAACAAAATAACTTCACTCTAAGAAGTACTCCAAAATTTTACAAAAAACCCCGCAAAGAATTTACATCTTGAGCCCCAGAACGTCTGCCCTTGATCTGCCCTTTCCTCTGACGGCGGTCCTTCACTTCCCCTCCCTCCATCCTCCGCCCCTTTCAATGCGCAAATGAGTTCACCAGCGCATCTCTCTCTCAAATGCCCAACCCCATTAAAAAATCCCAAAAACCCAATCGAAGCTCTTGCCTCCTTCAATCCCTCGACCGGCTCATCTCCGTCAACGACCTCTCCACTGCCGTCGCCGCAATGCATCCGGTCCCAATCCCCGTGGGCCCTCTCCTTAGCTCGCCGCCTCCGTCTCTACCTCCACGTCACTGGCTCCAAGCACATCTACCCTTCTACCCCTTTTCTCTCTAATCACGTAATATCTCTTTACTTCATTCTTGGTCGAGCTGACGACGCCCGCGCCTTGTTTGATAAAATGCCGACGAAGAACGTTTTCACTTATAATTCGATGATTGCGGGCTATGCTAAATTGGGTATGATTGCAGCGGCGAGGAGAGTGTTTGATAATATGCCGGTGAGGGATTTGGTTTCTTGGAATAGTATGATTATTGCTTTTGCTAGAAATGGGCAATGTAGAAATGCTGTCGATTTTTATTGTAAGGTTAGACGTTCGTCGTTTGGGTATAACCCATTTACGTTTTCTGGGCTAGTCACTGCTTGTGTGAGGTTTGGGGATTTTAGGCTTACCCAGCAAGTGCACGGGCAGGTTTTGGTTGTTGGGCTGTTTTCGTCGAATCTTGTGATTTCGAGCTCCTTGGTTGATGCATATGTGAAGAATGGATGGTTGTACGATGCGAGGAGGGTGTTTGATGAAATGATGACGAAAGATGTTTTGTGTTGGACTACTTTGGTTTATGGGTACGCGAAGAGTGGGGATTTAGTGTCCGCGAGGAGAGTTTTTGATGAAATGCCGGAGAGGAATCCTGTTTCTTGGACGGCTTTGATTGGAGGGTATGCGAGGTTTGGGTTCTCGCTCGAGGCGATTGATTTGTTTAGGAGGATGATGTGGGAGGGTTTTAGGCCGGATCAATTCACATTCAGTAGTGGGTTGTGCGCTTGTGCTTCGATTGCTTCGTTGAAGCATGGAAAGCAGATTCATGCCCGTTTGCTTAGGACCCGTTTCAGACCGAATGCTGTCGTTCTGAGCTCACTTGTCGATATGTACTCAAAATGTGGGGATTTGGAGGGAGGGCGGCGAGTTTTTTATAAGACACCCGTTAATGAGAGAGATTCAGTAATGTGGAATACTATGATGTCTGCTGAAGGTCAGCATGGTAACGGGAAAGAGGCTATTCGGTTGTTCGAGGAAATGGTTGGAGTAGGAACAAAGCCAGATGAAAACACCTTTATGGTTCTCATCTCTGCTTGCAGCCATTCAGGTTTAGTAACAGATGGAGTGAAGTTTTTTGAATGCATGGAAGAGACCCATGGGATTGTTCCTCAAGAGGAACACTATTGTTGTTTAGTTGATCTTTTAGGCCGAGCTGGACATTTAGAAGAGGCAGTGAAATGGATAAGTAAGATGCAATATCAATCTAGTGCTCGAGCATGGAATGCGCTGCTCGGGGCTTGCAGGACCCACAAGAACATAAAATTGGGAAAGGAAGTAGCATCACAGCTTATTGAAGTTGATCCTTTGAACTCTGCACCGTACGTGTTGCTATCAAACATTTATGCGGGTGAAGGGAGATGGGAGTCTGTAGAGAAGGTGAGGCATCAAATGGAGGAGAAAAGAGTGAGAAAAGAACATGCTGTGAGCTGGATTGAGATTAATAACATAGTCCACTCTTTTGAGGCATCGGATAAGTTGCATCCTGTGAAAGAAAACATGACCAGTGTATTAGAACACTTAGTTAGTCAGATGGAGGATAATTCTTTTGTTACATGAGCGCCAAGGAGCACTTCGGTCTTGCTCTTTCGTACCTGAAGTGGCACTACAATTTTTTGCGGATTCACACCCTTACATTGTGTTAGTGAAGTGGAATATTCACACTACAGATAATAAATCTAATCTTTTGAGATTATTGTTTGAGCTTATCTCTACTAACTGAGGTAAAATTGTTTCAGCAGTGTATATTAGGTACATTTTCTTCACTTCAGCATATGGTTTTTGCCGGTTACCGTCTTTATGCTGTGCTTACTGATTTTTTCTTCATTTTACTGTCTTCGATCTAAATCCACACAATTGCCGTAAAATGAGTCAGTTTTCACAAAAGTGCGTTAAGATACAAGAGACAAGAAAACCTCATGTTTTCCTTCCATTTGCCATGTGTTCCTACGATCATATGTTCGGTGTAGTTGATGTCAAAGAATGGTTTGTAGGTAATGTTCTACACTTTTAAATTGATGAATTAAGTGCTCAATTCACATATTCTCTTTTACATTTGGGCATAAGCTTTTGTGTGAAGCTTAAGATTAGGAACTCCTGACTGAAACAATCTGTGCTAAGGAAATTCGGAAGCCTCTACAGGCCTTAGATATTTCACGATGAGCAACAACTTGATATATCTGTTTAAAGCTAAAGATGAACTTTAAGCTGATTAGAACTATTCTTCAAATGTTTGATAACTTCTGAGCCATCATGCTTTGCTGAATACTCGATGTCTCGAATAGATAAAACCTCCTTAAGGCTTACGTTTTCAAATGGAAAAGTAGTAGCTTCTGTTGGTTATGTCTACCACCTAGTTATTCTTCCTCATTGAGGATTATCCCTTCACATTGATATTACACAGAGCATCCCCTTATTTGGTATATTAGTATATTATTACGCTACTAAATTAATCCTGTGACGTGCTAAACTAGTTATAAGGATTGATATTTTCGAATACATCTATTGGTCCACTTCTCCCATTTATGGCATAAGTCATAACTGTATTGTCCTTTCATGGAATATGTACAAACTTATAGCTTATCAGTTCAGGATGGTATCAATGTGTATCCCTTAAAGGCTTCAGGTGGTTCATGTGATGTTGGGCATGGAACTATATCTTTACGCCCTCAAGATTGCTAGTTTGTTAACATTTTCATTGTCTTTGAATCTGACTGGTAAATGGGCCTCTCTTGACTGGGTAAACAGGGTTTCATTCCTCACTTGGATTCTATCATGGATATTTCTATATATTTCTAGGTTCGTCGTGGTAACAATGTCTACAATAATAAACTGATGTAAGATATAAGCAATGTTGGTAAATTCAGTCTGGCAAGGAAATCTGAAGTCTACTGGAGTTTCTGTCCTGCCGAATAATGAGTTGAAAATGAAGATTATTGTCAACAATGTTATTGTACAAAGTATGTTTGACTATATAACAATTACAAAGTTCATTCAAAGTGAAGTATCATTGGCTGTAATAAGCTGAAGGTTTGGTTGTACAAGACTTCATCAAATTCAAATTTGCTAAAATTATTCTCTTTTGTGCTTTTAGGGATTGATAAACATTTAATTTGAACTACAAATTTTCTCACTTTTTTCATTACTACTTGTCTTCCTCTTGTTTCTCTAGTTTTGTGTTTCTCCTTTAGTATTTGCCATTTAATCTTATCTTTGTTGTGAATTCTAATTTCAAAGATGTCAAGTTCTTCCGACAATTTTTTTTTAATATATGATGAGGGCACAATGGGGAAATTTAATGGTTTTAAGTTCATTAGGTATTAAAGATGACAGATTCTAATTGGGTAAATTGCACATAAGCTCCTCATCTATACCTTCAGTTGCACTTCACCCCATTAACTTATTTACTAGCAGTCTAGCACTTAACATCTCTGGATTGCCATTTTTTGAAAGATAAATTGCATGTAACACCCCTCTTCCTCATGAATCGTGTGTCTGTCTGTGGTGGTGGGGTGTGTGCGTGTTTGTTCTTTCTTTCTTTCTTTCTTTTTTTTTTTTTTTGGGGGGGGGGGGGGGG